CAGCCCTGGCTGTCCTAGAACTACCTTTGCAGACTAGGCTTTGCTTGCCTGTGCCTCTCCAGTGCTGGAATTAAAGGCATGCACCATCATGCCCAGCTAAAAATTAACCATATTCTTAGAGGAATAGAAATCCAAAGTTGCCTTTAAAAAAGAAAAAAAATTACTCTCCATAACAGACTTCAGACTCCCACATGTGGCAAATAAACCTCGAAAAGAAAGGGGGTAAAGAGCTGAGAAGAAGAGAGCCATGAGGAAGAGAGTAAGCCTTAGGTCAAACAGGGAAGATTGAGCACAGGCTGAGCACAAGTGTTTGCAATTCTGTACTGCCAGACTCTTGCCAACATCACCCTCTTGTGGCAAATTTTGGCAAACTGCACTATTTCATTAAGGCCAAGTCACATGAACAAACTTCTCTAGTCTAGTGCCCATCCTTTCCAGACTAACTTACCTCCTCTAACCCAGGAGGACCAAAACCCTGCTAGGCCTCAGCCCAATGCACTTTTCATAAGCTCCACATGATCTGAATTGCTTGTTCAAAGGCTCACCCTTGAGGAGCACTGTCCTAAACTAACTTTCTTTTTTTGAAACAGAGTCTTTCTACATAGCTCAGGCTATCCTGGAACTCACTATGTAGACCAGACTAGGCTATCCTGGAACTCAGAGATCTACTACCTGCCTCTGCCTCCTGAATGTTGGGATAAAAAGCATACACCATCATCTAATATTTTATTCCTCACAAATGTTGATCTCAAAGAACTAGAGAGTTAAGTAGAAGCTATTAACCTCAAATCTTACGAACAGGACACAGAAAAAAGTCTAAGTGACCTGCCCACAAACTTGCTAATTGCTTATGTGAATTCGAACAATGTACGAGATGCTCACCTACACGAGGCAGTCACAGAATTTCTGCTTTGTCATTCATATTTGAAAGACAGATGAAGGGACAGCCACACAATGCTCATAATGAACTACAGGCATTGGGCAGTTCATGAGTAAAGCAGAGAAGAGCAATACATCTCGAGAACAATGACAAATACAGTAGGCAACAAGCATGCCACTGCACCCACTCATGAGCTTGAAATACATTCCTCACTTTAATAATTAAGAAAAGGATTCTTAGAGAATTGGTGCCATCATGTTTGTTACACGAAGTGTAGTCAGATAAAAAGTAACTCTCAGCCGGGCGGTGGTGGCGCACGCCTTTAATCCCAGCACTCGGGAGGCAGAGCCAGGCGGATCTCTGTGAGTTCGAGGCCAGCCTGGGCTACCAAGTGAGTCCCAGGAAAGGCGCAAAGCTACACAGAGAAACCCTGTCTCGAAAAACCAAAAAAAAAAAAAAAGTAACTCTCCTACTTTATGATAAATGCCATGAAGGCAGCCATGCTTTTTTAATTCCTCGTTTTATCAACTTTTTTTTTTTTGGGGGGGGGTGGGGAGAGACAAGGTTTCTCTGTGTAGCTTTGGAGCCTTTCATAGAACACACTCTGTAGCCCAGGCTGGCCTCGAACTCACAGAGATCCTCCTGCCTCTGCCTCCCAGTACTGGCTGGGATTAAAGGCGTGCGCCACCACCGCCCGGCCTTATCAATTGTTTTATTTTGAGATAGGGTTTCTTCTGGCCCAGTTTAGCCGTGAACCCCCTGTGTAACCCGAGATGGCCTGGATTTTACTTTATCTATCTTCCAAGAGCTAGCTGTGGAGCATGCTGCATGATTGATTACCCTTCACTTTTTACAAAATTTGTTCTAGGACAGCCAGAGCTGTAACACAGAGAAACCCTGTCTTGAAAAACCAAAAAAAAAGGAAATAAAGGGCTGGAGAGATGGCTCAGAGGTTAAGAGCACTGGTTATTCTTCCAGAGGTCCTGAGTTCAATTCCCAGCACCCACATGATGGCTCACAACTACCTGTAATGAGATCCAGTACCCTCTTCTGGCATGCAGGCAGAACACTGTATACATAATAAATAAATAAATGAATGAATGAATGAATGAATAAAAATAAAAAAAGGAATAAAAACAACTATTGTTCAAAGAGTTCTATTATATGTAGCTTGTTCAACTGTTTCTTCTATATCTAGATGCAAAACATAATTTAAAGATAAAAATAATGAACACCACTAAGCCTTGAGGCACATGCCTATAATCCCAAACACTGAGAAAGTTGAAGCAGGAGGATCAAGAGTTCCAGGGTAGCTCAGGCTACATCTTAAGACCTTATCTCATAGAATAAAAGTAACAATAAATTAAAATCTTTAGAGCTAATTCCACTGTGTCTGAAAACTGTGCAAAAGAACTTACTTGGAGTTAAAGAGATGGCTTGCCAGTTAAGAGCACTTATTGCTCTAGCAGAGAACCAAATTCAGTTCTCAGAATCCAAGAACTCCAGCTCCAGGAGATATGACACCCTCCTCTAGCCTTCACAGGTGGCATATTCAACTTTTCCCTACAAACACACACACGTATACATAAACAATTCGTTGTTTGTTTCCTGAGACAGGGTTTCTTTATGTAGTCCTGGCTGTCCTCTGTAGACCAGACTGGTCTTGAACTCAGAGAGATCTACCTGGCTCTGCTTTCAGTTGCTGGGATTAAATGCATTCGCTACTACTGCCTGGGAGACATGTTAATATTATACTGATCAAATCACTCTAGATGAGGTACAACCAGGTATCATGGTTGTCATGCTTCTAATCCCAGTATTAAAAGAGGCAGAGCTAGCACCCCCACCCCAAAAAAAGATAAAGCACAGTAAGAAAAACTATTTCTACTACTTCCTTGTTCTTACCCATCAAGATCAGTCCTAGACTGTGGAAGCATTAAACTACTATAAGAAAAGAGAAAATGAAAAGAAGCAAGCTTCTTCAACCAAACTCTGATGAGTATAGTATCAGTACTGGGTTGGGAGGAGCATGAACTACCATTAGCTAAGCCTTCTTTCCTACTGAATTTCTTTTATTTTCATGTGAGTCAGTCAAAGGACCGTTGTGAACTATTTTCCATTAAGAAATCGAATTTTTTTCTTGAAGCAAGTATTTATGCAAATATGGTAAGATCTCTCAATTCTTCGCTTGATGGGTTGTCTGTGTGTCTCCCCATAAAGTATACACAAAGCCACCAGATTTTCCACTTGGTTATAGAAAGTCAAAAAAGCAGTATGTCACTCCCACTTCAACAATATCCAAAAGATAGCTCTGAGCTAGGACACTGGAGAGATATATCAGTTGGTAATATGCTTGACTTGCAAGCGAGGACCTGAGTTAGACACTAGGAACAAAAGTAAAATAGCAGATGTGGTGGGTTTGAGCTTGTAAGGGCAGTGTTAAGGGGGTGGGTAGAAATAGGCAAATTTCTAAGGCTTATCAGTCTAGCCTATTTGTTGAGTTTCAAGCCAGTGAAGGACCTTGTTGAAAAACAAAAACAAAAAAAATAATAACTGACCCAGTAAGATAGCTAAGTGGGTAAAGGCACTTGTCACCAAACTTAATAACCTGAGTTCAATCTTCAGGATCCACAAGACAAAAGGAAAAAAATGGTCCCTATAAATTGTCCTGACTTCTACATGGAATACACAAAGGTGTCTGAGAAACACCATCCCACATTGTTCCCTGGCCTAAACACACACCATACTACACCACACACACACACACACACACACACACACACACACACACACACACACACACACACACCACACACGCACGCGCACACACACACACATACACACACACACATACACACACGCACACACACACACACCTATCTCAAATTAAAAAAAGCAAAACAAAACTCTCTCTCTCTCCTCCCTCCCCCAACTCTCATCTCTTTTATACAGTCACATGTAGCTCCATCTTGAAACCTGGACAAGTGAAGCAAAAGCTTCAAATTTTGAAATTTGAAATCAAACAATAAAAAGAAAAATATCAATTTTTATATAACAGTTCCACACTCATGTTGTTGCTGGTCTATTATGTGGTATTTTGTTTTGTTTCATTTCGTTTTTGGATACAGTTCAAATTCACCTCAAATTTTCCATCTTTCTACCTCAGACCTTCTGTTTTGTTTTGATTTTTTTGTTTCGTTTTGTTTTGTTTTCCAAGTCAGGATTTCTCTGTGTAACCTTGGCTGTCCTGGAACTCATTCTGTAGACCAGGCTGGCCTCAAACTCAAAGAGATCCACCTGCCTCTGCCTCCTGAGTACTAGCTGACTAATTTTTGGAGTCTGCATGATTTCAATTCTAAAATCAGACAAAAGAGTTTGCCATGTTTACTCACACTTACAATGCCAGCTCTATAAAGGATCGAAGCTGAAGACAGCCATGAGTTCAAGGCCAAAATGAGCTAGACAGTGATGTCCAGGGCAGCCTGGGCTACAGTGTGAGATTCTGTCTCAAAATAACAACCAACCAACCAAATATACATATAAATTACTAGACAATTAATGATAATATCCCTCTTAAATACAGACACAAAAATCCTCAGCCAGCTGGGTGGTGGTGCACACCTTTAGTCCCAGTACTTGGGAGTTAGAGGCAGGTGGATCTCTCGGTTCCAAGCCAGACTGGTCTACAGAGTGAATTCCAAGACAGCCAGGGCTACACAGAGACTCTGTATCGAAACTCACCCTACCCAAATACATATAAACACTGTAAACCTTTCTTAAAGGATTTAACTGTGTTTTACACCAGATGTGAGATCACACCAATAACCTGATTCCAACATAAATTGGAATATAAGCACAAATTTAATGTATTTAACTTTATAAAGTTATGCTTAAATATAAGAAGTAGCAGGAACTTTAATAGAGGAAATTACAAAGCAGTTAGGTAGTAGATGAAAGTCATCTCCAGCTTCACCAACAATGATTTGACTAAAGGACAATGTGTCCTTGATTTGTAACAGACCCTTCAAGTGACTGCCTACACCAAAACCTCAGTGGTGACAAATCATGACCTCCAATCTGCATTCTGAACATATGCATCCCTTTTAACTTCAACACTTACTTTCAACCTGGCTAGTGTCTGAGCATGGTTTCTTTTTGGCCTCTGGGTTCCCAGTTTTCTCATCACCATCCATGAGAGGAATATACTCAGTCTTCTCCACAGTTTCTCCCACAGTGTCATCATAGGGCTCGGCCTCCAGTGTGGCAATGAAGTCTCGCTTTATCTCTCCCTCAATTTCTGGAGGTGGCTCTGTCAATGCATCTACAAGACTGAGGTCCGCCATTCTGCACCACTGCAACTGCCTGTCAGAGGAAGAGAAGTTCACATGAACACTGCGAATGAACAATGGAAAACACTTCTAGAGGCTCTCTCATCAGCTGTCTTCAAGAGAACCAAAATCTAAAACTGAAGAACAGTCAACACCTTTAGGATGATGAGAAAATAAAAGCTCAGGAAACTTAGCCAAGGTGAGTCACTGCAGCTGACATTGTTCTCGAATCTCTCCAGGGCAGAAGAGCCAAGGACTATTTTGTTCCTTTCACTTATCTGAGGCGGGATCTTGTTAGATGTAACCCAATCTAGCCTAACCCACAATGAATCTTCTGCTTCAGTCCCCAGAATATTGGGATTACAGGAGTATATAGTCATACCAAGCTTATTAATACAGAAAATAAAGCACAAGCCAGGCAGTAGTGGCACACACCTTTGATCCCAGCACTCAGGAGGCAGAGGCAGGCGGATTTCTGTGAGTTTGAGGCTAGCCTGGTCTACAAAAAGAGTTCCAGGACAGCCTGGGCTGTTACACAAAGAAACCCTGTCTTGAAAAGCCAACACCCCCACCAAAAAAAAAATTGCCTTTACTGTATGTGTACAAGTATTTTGCTTGCATGCATGTATGTGTACCACAAGCACGACTGCTGCCTGCGGTGGCCAGGAAGGTGTTAGATATCCTAGAGCTATGTGAGTGCTGAGACAGCGCTCTTAACCGCTGAGCCGTCTCTCCAGCCCTTAAATAAGGTCTTTTAACTTCAACTCTCATAATATCTTTTCAGTTATCCCATATTTCCACATCAAGTACCAAAATAGTTTTTAAAAAAATATACAAGAACAGATTAGAGTACTTCTATGAAAAAGACTGCATTATCAAGCAAATAAAATCATTGTTTTATGTTAAGGCTGGGTACTGCCTCATCATCACTTGTAGATAGCTGAATAAATTAGTACAGCCAGCAATATGGGTCAACGAACAAATGCGCTTACCACAAAGCCTGACGATCTGAGTTTGAGCCCCAGACTCCTATGTGAAGGTGGAGAGAACCAACTTTTCACAAAGCTGCCCTTTGATCTCCACATGTGTGCCATGCACACACAGTCTCTCACACAGACATAAAATTTTTAAAATAAGCTGGGTGGTGGTGGCGCACAACTTTACTCCCAGCACTCGGGAGGCAGAGGCAGGTGGATCTCTGAGTTTGAGGTCAGCCTGGTCTATTTAAAGTGAGTTCCAGGACAGCCAGAGCTGAGAAACCCTGTCTCAAAAAAACAAAAACAAGAAAGAAATTAAAACAAAATGATTTGATAAATAAATATTTTGAGTGGAAGTATCCTATGTGGGTAGATGAAGCCATAAGGTTAGAGAATGAAAATCCTAGTGCCAGGGAGGGCCTTCTTCTCTAGGAAATGTGGGCTAAAAAGACCCCTGTAGCTCCCAAAACAATACAGGCTATTGCCACAAAAGTTGGGTATTTATCAGAACAGGATGGTAAGACACCACGCACTTTGGTAGCAGGACACAGGGGGGGAGGGTGAAGGTGTAACTAAGTTGGAAGTTTCTTAACCTGCTGGCTAGATTTCACGGTCCCAAAAAGGTACTATCCTGGCTGATAGGGGAGAATTGTTACTAACAGTCTTATTCAGCTATAATTTAGTTATTCTTTCCATGTCACCACATTTAAAAAGAAGTGTTATCTAACACATGTACTCATGCCTGTACTCCATTGTGCCCTCATGCCCAAGGTCTTTGTAAGTAAAGTACATAAGAGCTCTAAAGGGCTAACTGATAAGAATAGTTTTTATAGCTATAACTAAATTACTGGGGTGCAGATATTAGGCTAGATGAGCTAGTCTAACAGGAAGACTGAGTTTAGACCAGCCTGAGCTATGTACAGAAGTCCTATTACTAAAAGCAACAACAAAATATGCACATCACTACTTGTAGAAAATGATTCTAGAAAGGAAACACAGTATTACGATAGAAGCGCAAATAATTATTGAAAGCACAGACTTTATTTTGTAAATGAAAGAAATCAATTTTCTACTTTCTTTATTGTAAAATAAAGTACATGTAACTTTTTTTTAAGTAACGGACAGATCTGTCAAACTGTTCTGCAAATTTATCATACTAATCATACACTTCACTTCATATAATCAGTTAGGCCTCAATGTTATGATTGTTTTCAAATCGAGACCTCAAGAAGAAAAAAAACCTTATCATTAAAAACCTTATTAGCTAGGATTCCTGGTACAGGCTGGCCATCCCAGCTCTCAGGATTGAGATATGTCTTGAAACATCCTAACCAAAAACAAAGACGAAAAATAAATAAAATAAAATAAAAAAGTATTTTTGTGAATGAGAAGAATCTACTTAACATGGCTATTTATTCATCTATCTGTATAGATAATAAAGTTAATTTAAAATGGATTTGTGATTAAGACACAAAATCTAAAACTGAGTCTGGCAGACAGTGTTTTAATTTGATGCTGTGGCCTTGAGTAAGTCACCTTTGCATACCTGAGTTTCCCTTAGTATGGTGGCCCACACCTTTAATGCCAGCACAGAGGCAGGCAGATCTCTGTGAGTTAGACAGCCAGGAGTATGTACAGAGATGCTGTCTCAGTTCAAAATAAGAGAGGAAGGAAGGAAGGAAGGAAGGAAGGAAGGAAGGAAGGAAGGGAGGGAGGGAGGGAGGGAGGGAGGGAGGGAGGGAGGGAGGGAGGGAGGGGAGGGGAGGGAGGGAGGGAGGGAGGAAGGAAGGAAGGAAGCAAACACCAAACCACCACAACAAAACAAAAATTAAAAGCTATTCCCTCCTTTCCTTTCTTCCCTTTAAGCCCTCCTATGTCTCCTCTTTTCAACCCCTCCCATGTTTCCCCAACACTTCCTATCAGATTGATGGGTTTTATTATTGTTTATATGTATATATACACATAAATACATAAATTTAGCCTGCTGAGTCTATCTAGTGTTGCTGGTGTATATGTGATTTCAGGGCTTTCCACTCTGTACTGGGTAACTATTAAGGAGTCTCAAACTCAGGAGAGCTAGTCACCTGCCTCTGCCTCCTGAGCCCTGGGATTAAAGGCATATACCATCATGCTTGGCAAACAAAAGAAAAAGAATTAATTAAAAATGAATCTCTAAATCAAAGCTTTACAAAAAGTATTTCCAGTTAAATGATTTGCTATTAGGCAAAAGCTTTGAGGGGGAAAGAAGGAACTAAAAACAAACTCAGAGCACCTTCACTTTTTCAACCAATCTGACTAGAATTTTAAAAACTCTACCCAGCTCTAGCTAACATCAACAGAGACCTAATACCACACATACTGAACTGTTAGAAAACAAGCCCCATATGATCTAAGCAGGCACCAAAAGAACACATGTTCTCAAGTACAGCAATTTGGACATCTGATCTTTCCTTCGGACCACATGTCGGGGATAAAGTTATCCGGTTACCAAGGTCTTAAAAAACAGGTAAATTAAGCTGGGTGGTGGTGCACATCTTTAATCCCAGCACTCAGAGGCAGAGGCAGGCGGATCTCAGTGAGTTCCAGATGGCTTAATAGTAAGAACACTTGCTCATCTTCTATTGGAGCCAGCTTCGGTACTCTAACCCATATAATGGCTCACAACCATCCATAACTCGAGTTCCATGGGATCCGACACCCTCTTCTGTCCTCCATGGGCGCCAGGCACACACGTGGTACACAGACATACAAGCAGACAAAACAATCATACAAGCTAGGAGTGGTGGCACATGCCTTTAATCCCAGAATTGAGGAAGCAGAGGCAGATGGGTCTCTGAGTTCGAGGCCAGTCTGGTCTACAGAGTGAGTTCTAAGACAGCCAGGACTGTTATCAGAGAAACCCTGTCTTGAAAAACCAAAAAGAACAACAACAAAGAAGTAAACTAAGGCAACAGGACTATGTGACATGATGATGAAGCATGCAAGAGAATCTTGGTCCTTTACTACACCACTGTTTTAATAGCTGTGTGCTCATAAATAGTAGATAACCCAGAATAGGATCATAAATACCTTATGAGGTGATTCACTTTAGATAATTTGCGAAGTCTGAGGTTACTGATTTAAAAGTATTTTTAAGGTCAAGCTCTCTATAGTAGTCTGGGCAACATTTCTTTTGTTTTGCCACAGGTTCTCACTGTGTAGCTCTACTGGCCTGAAACTTGATATGTAGACCAGGCTGGCCTTGAACTCACAGAGATCCACTTGCCTCTCCTTCCCAAGTGCTGGGATTACAAGTGTCCCACTTTGCTTGGTCTTGGAACAATTTTTCAAACTGTAGGAAATCCTCTAAAAAACAGAAACTGCCACTCTAGTTTACAAATGACCAGCAGCTTCCTCTCTCCTCCCTTCGATACGGTATTTGCTGCTGTGGAGGAAGAGAGAGGGAAGAACAGAAGCCTAGTCAGTGCCATCATCACCCTCAAACATTATTCATAAAAATCTATAGTATCTTCATTTCCCTCTGAACACTAGACAAATTTCTAACAAGATTCCTTTAAAGGCACCAGAATTATCTTTAAAAGTATAGAATCTACACATATACATGATAGTTCCAGCCTGTGATACCAGCACTGGGGAGGCTCAATCAGGAGGATTAAAGAGTCTGGGGCCATTCTGGACTGCACAGCAAGACTCAAAACCTGTCTCAAAAAACAATCATTATCACTATCACTATCATCATCATCATCATCATCATCATCATCATCTAGACACAGTAGCATGCACTTATGAAGTCCCAGGTATACAAAAATCTGAACCAGGATTGCTTAAGCCCAAACTGATAGGCTAATTTAAAACAGAGCCTAGCAGCCAAGGGTGGTGGCCCATGCCTCTAATCCCAGCACTCAGGAAGTAGAGGCAGGCAGATCTCTGTGAGTTTGAGGCCTGGTCTACAAAGTCAGTTCCAAGACAGCCAGAGCTGGTACACAGAGAACCCTGACTGGGCGTGGGGGGCGGGGGGGGGACGGACGGACGGACACCGAACCTGGCTCTGTGGTTA